AGGAGGGAGTCTACGAGTGTCTGAGTGAGTGTCTGAGTGAGTGTCTGAGTGAGTGTCTGAGTGAGTGAGTGTCTGAGTGAGTGTCTGAGTGAGTGTCTGAGTGAGTGTCTGAGTGAGTGTCTGAGTGAGTGAGACAGCTGGCTCTCCCTGTGTGTGAAGGTGGTGGAGTATGATAATGGTTCTGGCTCCGTGCTCCGGGTCCAGCCCGTGAAGAGTCGTGAGGAGGGAGTCTACGAGTGTCTGAGTGAGTGTCTGAGTGAGTGACTGAGTGTCTGAGTGAGTGTCTGAGTGAGTGTCTGAGTGAGTGAGTGAGTGTCTGAGTGAGTGTCTGAGTGAGTGAGACAGCTTGCTCTCCCTGTGTGTGAAGGTGGTGGAGTATGATAATGGTTCTGGCTCCGTGCTCCGGGTCCAGCCCGTGAAGAGTCGTGAGGAGGGAGTCTACGAGTGTCTGGCTCAGAGTGCCTCCGGCGAGGTCAGCGCTTCTGCCAAGCTCACCGTGCTGGGCGGTGAGTATCACGTCCACACACACACAGATATACACACACACACACACAGTCACACACACACACACACAGACAGTCACACACACAGACACACACACACAGAGATATACACACAGTCACACACACACACACAGTCACACACAGACACAGATATACACACACAGAGATATACACACACACACACACACAGACAGTCACACACACAGATATACACACACAGACACACATACACACAGATACACATACACACAGATATACACACACAGACACAGATATATACACACAGACACACACACAGTCACACACACAGATATATACACACAGATATACACACACAGACACACACACAGTCACACACACAGATATAAACACAGACACACACACAGTCACACACACAGTCACACACACAGAGATATACACACACACACAGACAGTCACACACACAGACACACACACACAGAGATATACACACAGTCACACACACAGAGATATACACACAGTCACAGACACACACACAGTCATACACACAGTCACACACAGACAGTCACACACACACACAGAGATATACACACGCAGAGATACACACACACACACACAGTCACACACACAGATATACACACACAGACACAGATATACACACACAGAGATACACACACACACACAGACAGTCACACACACAGATATACACACACAGACACAGATATACACACACAGAGATATACACACAGACACACACACAGTCACACACACAGACACAGATATACACACACAGAGATATACACAGACACACAGACAGTCACACACACAGATATACACACACACACACACAGATATACACACACAGAGATATACACACACACACAGACAGTCACACACACACAGAGATATACACACACAGAGATATACACACAGACACACACACAGATATATACACACACACACACAGATATACACACACACACAGATATACACACACACAGACAGTCACACACACAGACACACACACAGATATATACACACACACAGTCACACACACACACACACAGATATACACACACAGAGATACACACACACACACAGTCACACACACAGACACACACAGAGATATACACACGCAGAGATACACACACACACAGTCACACACACAGATATACACACACAGACACAGATATACACACACAGAGATACACACACACACACAGACAGTCACACACACAGATATACACACACAGACACAGATATACACACACAGAGATATACACACAGACACACACACAGTCACACACACAGACACAGATATACACACACAGAGATATACACAGACACACAGACAGTCACACACACAGATATACACACACACACACAGATATACACACACAGAGATATACACACACACACAGACAGTCACACACACAGACACACACACAGAGATATACACACAACAACAACAACAACAACCGCCATTCGCCACTAAGTGGCGGTGACGTCACCACGACGCTTGTGCCAGGCTATGTGCACCCTGAGGCCACGTGAAGTGTCGAGCGCCCGCTGGCAAGAGGTCACGGGGCAGACCCAGGTGCCACGGGTCGGACTGACTGAGATGACTGGCTGATGCACCACCTGTGCCCCCTACTGTGCCAACCTGCTGTGCTTTAGCCACCCGGCGCTCCGCTCGTTGTTGTGAGCGTCGCTCCTCCGCCCTCCGTTGTTGTTGGAGGGCGACTGCCTCCAACTGCCCAGTAGCATCCTTCACGAGCCTCCTCCACAGAGGCCGATCTTGACACCGCTGGTACCGGTCATCGGCAAGTCCACTCAGCTCCACGTCCTCCTGTACCACATCACTCCATCTCTTCTCTAGCCCGTGCCGCGCCCGCTTAGCCCCCTCAATCCGGCCAAACAAAAGCTGTTTCGGCATGCGGTGGCTGGGCATGCGGGCTACATGACCCAGCCATCGCAGCCTTGCCTGCCGGAGGAGCTCACCGATGGGACCCTGCCCAGATCTTTCAAGGATTTGTGAGCTCCTCACACAATCCAGTCTGGTTAAACCCAGGATGGATCGTAGGCAGGCCAGCCTAAATGTTTCTAACCGGCGAAGATGTTCCATTAGGGGGGTCCACGTTTCGCAAGCGAGATATATACACACACACACAGACAGTCACACACACAGACACACACACACAGAGATATACACACAGTCACACACACAGAGATATACACACAGTCACAGACACACACACAGACACACACACAGACACACACACAGTCACACACACAGACACACACACACAGTGACACACACACACACACAGTGACACACACACACACCCACACACACACAGTGACACACACACACACACACAGTGACAGACACACTGACACACACACACACAGACACACACACACAGTGACACACACACCCACACACAGACACACACACACACACAGTCACACACACACACAGTGACACACACAGTGACACACACACACACATACACACAGACACACACACAGTGACACACACACACTCACACACACACACAGTCACACACACACAGTCACACACACACACACAGTCACACACACACACACAGTGACACACGCAGTGACACACACACACACACAGACACACACCCACACACACACACAGACACACACACACGCAGTGACACACACACACAGACACACACACAGACACACACACAGACACACACACAGTCACACACACACAGATAGTGACACAGTGACACACACACACAGACACACACCCACACACACACACACACAGACACATACACACACACAGTGACACACACACACACAGTGACACACACACACACACAGTCACACACACACACAGTGACACACGCAGTAACACACACACACAGTGACACACACACAGACACACACACAGACACACACACACACAGTGACACACACACAGTGACACACACACAGATAGTGACACAGTGACACACACACACACAGTCACACACACACACACAGACACACACCCACACACACACAGACACCCACACACACACACAGACACATACACACACACAGTGACACACAGACACACACACACACAGACACACACATACACACACACACAGTGACACACATACAGATAGTGACACAGTGACACACACACATACAGTCACACACACACACAGTGACACACACACACACACAGACACATACACACACACAGTGACACACACACAGTAACACACACACACACAGTCACACACACACAGTCACACACACACACACAGTCACACACACACACACAGTCACATACACACACAGTGACACACACACACACCCACACACCCACACACCCACACACACACCCACACACACACACTCACACACACACACACACAGTGACACACACACAGTGACACACACACCCACACACACCCACACACACACACACACCCACACACAGTGACACACACACAGTGACACAGACTCACACACACACCCACACACAGTGACACACACACAGTGACACACACACAGCCACACACACCCACACACACCCACACACACACAGTGACACACGCAGTGACACACCCACACACACACACAGACACACACACCCACACACACAGTGACACACAGACACACACACACACACAGTGACACACACACCCACACACACACACACACAGTGGCACACACACACCCACACACACACACACAGTGACACACACACACCCACACACACACACAGTGACACACACACAGTGACACACACACAGATAGTGACACAGTGACACACACCCACACACACCCACACACACACAGTGTCACACACACTCACACACACCCCCCCCCCCCCCCCCCCCCCTCACCCCCCCCCCCCCCCCCCCCCCCCCCCCCCCCCCCCCCCCCCCCCCCCAGAGGAGCAGCTCCCCCCAGGTTTCCCCGAGATTTTGTCTTCACCCCAGCAACGAGTGGTGGAGCGAGGCCGGGCGGCCACCATGGTGTGTGAGGCTCACGGGAACCCGGACCCCATCCTCCGCTGGTTCAGAGACTTCGCTCCCGTGGACGTGGCCGCCTCCAACGGCAGGATTCGCCAGCTGGCCACTGGTGAGCGGATCGCTCGCCCGCCCGCTCGCTCGCTCGCCCGCTCGCTCGCTCACCCACTCACTCACTCACTCGCTCACCTGCTCACTCACTCACCCACTCACTCACCCAACTCACCCACTCACTCACTCACTTATTCACTCGCTCACCCACTCACTCACCCACTCACTCACCCACTCACTCACCCACTCACTCACCCACTCACTCACCCACTCACTCACTCACTCACTCGCTCACCCGCTCACTCACCCGCTCGCTCACTCACTCGCTCACCCGCCCACTCACTCGCTCACCCACTCACTCGCTCACCTGCTCACTCACCCACTCACCCACTCACTCGCTCACCCACTCACTCGCTCACCCACTCACTCACCCACTCACTCACTCAATCACTCGCTCACTCACCCACTCACCCACTCACTCACCCACTCACTCACCCGCTCACTCACCCGCTCGCTCACTCACTCGCTCACCCGCCCACTCACTCGCTCACCCACTCACTCGCTCACCTGCTCACTCACCCACTCACTCGCTCACCCGCTCGCTCACCCACTCACTCGCTCACCCACTCACTCACCCACTCACTCACTCACTCACTCGCTCACTCACCCACTCACCCACTCACTCGCTCACTCGCTCGCTCACCCACTCACCCACTCACTCGCTCACCCGCTCGCTCACCCACTCACTCACTCACTCGCTCACCCACTCGCTCACCCACTCACTCACTCGCTCACCCACTCACTCACTCACTCGCTCACTCACCCACTCACCCACTCACTCGCTCACTCACCCACTCACCCACTCACCCACTCACTCACCCGCTCACTCACCCACTCACCCACTCACCCACTCACTCGCTCACCCGCTCACTCACCCACTCACCCACTCACTCACCCACTCACTCACTCACCCACTCACCCACTCACTCACCACTCACCCACACACTCACTCACTCACTCTTTAACTTTAACTCAGCTATTTCAATGAGCCATTTCAATGCTAAATTCTATGCTAATTCCTTTGTCAAGGCGCTTGGTCTTTATCTTCTCACACAGCTTAGAGGTCGCGATCTGAGCTTGTGGCTTCTTCCACTCCAGCGCTGTCCTACCAGACAGTCTCGTCCCTTCACCTGATGAAGGCCGCTTGTGTTGTGGCCGAAACGTCGTGAGAATATTATTGTGTTATTTTATTTTCACCTACGTGGTGACTCTACCCAATAGAACCAAAGAGTACGGCTCTCTGATTGGTGTAGATCTACCGCCACGCCCCCATCTCTAGACCTTTATAAACAGCTCTCTGATTGGTGTAGACCTACTGCCACGCCCCCAGCTCTAAACCTTTATAAACAGCTCTCTGATTGGTGTAGATCTACCACCACGCCCCCAGCTCTAAACCTTTATAAACAGCTCTCTGATTGGTGTAGACCTACTGCCACGCCCCCAGCTCTAAACCTTTATAAACAGCTCTCTGATTGGTGTAGACCTACTGCCACGCCCCCAGCTCCAAACCTTTATAAACAGCTCTCTGATTGGTGTAGACCTACTGCCACGCCCCCAGCTCTAAACCTTTATAAACAGCTCTCTGATTGGTGTAGATCTACTGCCACGCCCCCAGCTCTACACCTTTATAAACAGCTCTCTGATTGGGCAGATTTCCCTCCCCATTTTTCACCCGATGACGATTGTTCATGTTGCGATCGAAATGTCGCGATGTTATCGTTTAAATTTTTACTGTTTACATCAAAATACTACGGCTGATGTTGGTGATGATGATGGTGATGATGGTGTTGATGATGATGATGTTGATGATGATGATGGTGATGATGATGTTGATGATGTTGTTGATGATGTTGTTGATGATGGTGATGATGATGATGGTGATGATGATGGTGGTGATGATGATGGTGATGATGGTGTTGAAGATGATGGTGATGATGGTGTTGATGATGATGATGTTGATGATGTTGATGATGTTGATGATGATGATGTTGTTGATGTTGATGTTGTTGATGATGTTGTTGATGTTGATGATGATGTTGTTGATGTTGTTGTTGATGATGTTGTTGTTGATGATGTTGATGTTGTTGATGTTGTTGAAGTTGATATTGTTAATGATGATGTTAATGATAATGATGTTGTTGATGTTGTTGATGTTGATGATGTTAATGTTGATGATGTTGTTGATGTTGATGTTGTTGTTGAAGTTGATGTTGTTAATGATGATGTTGATGATAATGATGTTGTTGTTGATGTTGTTGATGTTGTTGATGTTGTTGTTGATGTTGTTGTTGATGTTGTTGTTGATGTTGATGTTGTTGTTGATGTTGTTGTTGATGTTGTTGTTGATGTTGAAGTTGATGTTGATGTTGTTGATGTTGTTGATGATGTTGTTGATGATGTTGTTGATGATGTTGTTGATGTTGTTGTTGATGTTGTTGTTGATGTTGTTGATGTTGATGTTGTTGTTGATGTTGTTGATGATGTTGATGTTGTTGATGTTGTTGATGTTGTTGTTGATGTTGTTGATGATGTTGATGTTGTTGTTGATGTTGATGTTTTTAAATGATGTTGTTGATGTTGATGTTGTTGTTGATGTTGTTGTTGATGTTGATGTTGATGATGTTGTTGATGTTGTTGTTGTTGTTGATGTTGTTGATGATGTTGATGTTGTTGTTGATGTTGGTGTTGTTGTTGATGATGATGTTGTTGTTGATGTTGTTGTTGATGATGTTGATGTTGTTGATGATGATGTTGATGTTGTTAATGATGTTGTTGTTGATGTTGTTGATGTTGTCGCATGCCAGGAGCTCTGCAGATCGACAGCGCTACGGAGTATGACCAAGGGAAATACGAATGCACCGCCTCCAACTCCGCAGGAAGCAGAACCTCAAACCCAGCCAACCTCTACGTCAGAGGTACACAACAACAACATCAACAACAACATCAACAACAACAACAACATCATCAACAACAACATCAACAACAACATCAACAACAACAACATCATCAACAACAACATCATCAACATCAACAACAACAACATCATCATCATCAACATCATCAAAATCAACAACATCAACAACATCAACAACATCATCAACATCATCAACAACAACAATATCAACATCATCAACAACAACATCATCAACAACATCAACATCATCAACAACAACATCATCAACAACATCATCAACATCATCAACAACAACATCATCATCAACAACAACAACAACAACCGCCATTCGCCACTAAGTGGCGGTGACGTCACCACGACGCTTGTGCCAGGCTAAGTGCACCCTGAGGCCACGTGAAGTGTCGAACGCCCGCTGGCTTTAGCCACCCGGCGCTCCGCTCGTTGTTGTGAGCGTCGCTCCTCCGCCCTCCGTTGTTGTTGGAGGGCGACTGCCTCCAACTGCCCAGTAGCGTCCTTCACGAGCCTCCTCCACAGAGGCCGATCTTGACACCGCTGGTACCGGTCATCGGCAAGTCCACTCAGCTCCACGTCCTCCTGTACCACATCACTCCATCTCTTCTCTAGCCCGTGCCGCGCCCGCTTAGCCCCCTCAATCCGGCCGAACAAAAGCTGTTTCGGCATGCGGTGGCTGGGCATGCGGGCTACATGACCCAGCCATCGCAGCCTTGCCTTGCCGGAGGAGCTCACTGATGGGACCGTGCCCAGATCTTTCGAGGATTTGTGAGCTCTCTCACTCCCTCTCTCTGTCTCTCTCTGGGAGATGTTGATGTCATTGTCTCTACTAACGTATCTCTCCCCATCTCTCTCCCTCTTTTAAATCATATCCGCTTCACGGACCAGATAACCGCACTGGTGAGTGGGTGAGTGAGTGGGTGAGTGAGTGGGTGAGTGGGTGGGTGAGTGAGTGGGTGAGTGGGTGAGTGAGTAGGTGGGTGAGTGAGTGGGTGAGTGAGTAGGTGAGTGAGTAGGTGGGTGAGTGAGTGAGTGAGTGGGTGAATGGGTGGGTGGGTGAGTAGGTGGGTGAGTGAGTGAGTGCGTGAGTCAGTAGGTGAGTGAGTGGGTGGGTGAGTGGGTGAGTAGGTGAGTGAGTGAGTGAGTGGGTGACTGAGTGAGTGAGCGAGTGGGTGACTGAGTGGGTGAGTGAGTGGGTGACTGAGTGGGTGAGTGACTGAGTGAGTGACTGAGTGGGTGAGTGAGTGGGTGACTGAGTGAGTGAGCGAGTGGGTGACTGAGCGGGTGAGTGAGTGTGTGGCTGCCTCGCTGGGCGAGCGAGCGGATGGGTGAGCGTTAACTTCGCTGACTCACCCACCCTCTCTCCCCCCTTCTCCTCTCTCCCCACCCACCCACCCACCCCACCCCACCCACCCCACCCACCAGTGAGACGAATGCCACCGTGGTTCTCCATCCCCCCGACAAGCCAGGAGGTGATGCCGGGCGGAGCGGTGAATCTAACTTGTGTGGCTGTTGGTGCTCCTATGCCCACCGTGCGCTGGACACGGGGATCTGGTGCTGAGGAACTGCCGGCTTCGATGTCCGGTGGTGGCGGTGGTGGTGGTGGTGGTGGTGGTGGCGGTGGTGGTGGCGGTGGTGGTGGCGGTGGTGGCGGTGGTGAAGGCGGTGATGGTGGGTCATTCGCTGCTCCCACCGGGCGAAACGTCTTGACGCTGGTGGATGTGACGAGGTCGGAGAACTTCACGTGCGTGGCCCAGAGCGTGATGGGGGTGGCCGAGGTGACGGTGCAGGTGACGGTGAAGGGTGAGTGGTGGTGTCAGTCAGACAGTCAGTCAGACACTCAGTCAGTCAGTGACTCAGTCAGTGACTCAGACACTCACTCAGTCAGTCACTCAGTTACTCACTCACTCACTCATCCACTCACTCACTCAGTCAGTCACTCAGTCACTCACTCACTCAGTCAGTGACTCAGACACTCAGTCACTCAGTCAGTCAGACACTCACTCAGTCACTCAGTCACTCACTCACTCATCCACTTACTCACTCACTCAGTCACTCAGACACTCACTCAATCAGTCAGTCACTCAGTCAGTCAGTCACTCAGTCACTCAGTCACTCAGTCACTAAGTGAGTCACTCAGTCAGTCAGTCACTCACTCACTCATTCATCCACTCACTCAGTCAGTCAGTCACTCAGTCACCCAGAACTTCACGTGCGTGGCCCAGAGCGTGATGGGGGTGGCCGAGGTGACGGTGCAGGTGACGGTGAAGGGTGAGTGGTGGAGTGGTGGTGTCAGACAGACAGTCACTCAGTCAGTCACTCAGTCACTCAGTCAGTCAGTCACTCACTCAGTCATTCAGACACTCAGTCACTCAGACACTCACTCACTCACTCATCCACTCACTCAGTCAGTCACTCAGTCTCTCAGTCACTCAGACACTCACTCAGTCAGTCAGACACTCACTCAGTCACTCAGTCACTCATTCATCCACTCACTCAGTCAGTCACTCAGTTACTCAGTCAGTGACTCAGTCACTCACTCAGTCACTCATCCACTCACTCAGTCAGTCAGTCACTCACCCAGAACTTCACGTGCGTGGCCCAGAGCGTGATGGGGGTGGCCGAGGTGACGGTGCAGGTGACGGTGAAGGGTGAGTGGTGGTGTCAGACAGACAGTCAGTCAGACAGTCAGTCACTCAGTCAGTCAGTCAGTCAGACACTCAGTCAGTCACTCAGTCAGTCAGTCACTCACTCAGTCAGTCAGTCACTCAGTCACTCACTCAGTCACTCAGTCACTCACTCACTCACTCAGTCAGTCAGTCAGTGACTCAGTCACTCAGTCACTCACTCACTCAGTTACTCACTCATCCACTCAGTCACTCAGTCACTCAGTCAGTCACTCAGACACTCAGTCAGTCACTAAGTCAGTCACTCAGTCAGTCACTCAGTCTCTCAGTCACTCACTCACTCATTCATCCACTCACTCAGTCAGTCAGTCACTTAGTCACTCAGTCAGTCACTCACTCAGTCAGTCAGTCACTCAGTCAGTGACTCAGACACTCACTCAGTCAGTCACTCAGTCAGTCACTAAGTCAGTGACTCAGTCAGTCACTCAGTCAGTCAGTCAGTCACTCACTCAGTCACTCACTCAGTCACTCAGTCACTCAGTCAGTCACTCACTCACTCAGTCAGTCAGTCAGTCACTCAGTCACTCAGTCAGTCACTCACTCAGTCACTCAGTCACTCAGTCAGTCACCCAGTCAGTCACTCACTCAGTCAGTCAGTGACTCACTCACTCACTCAGTCACTCAGTCAGTCACTCAGTCAGTCACTAAGTCAGTGACTCAGTCAGTCACTCACTCACTCAGTCAGTCAGTCACTCAGTCAGTCACTCACTCAGTCACTCAGTCAGTCACTCACTCACTCACTCAGTCAGTCAGTCACTCAGTCACTCAGTCAGTCAGTCACTCACTCACTCAGTCACTCAGTCAGTCACTCAGTCAGTCACTCAGTCACTCAGTCAGTCAGTCACTCACTCAGTCACTCACTCAGTCACTCACTCAGTCAGTCACTCAGTCAGTCACTCACTCAGTCACTCAGTCACTCACTCAGTCAGTCAGTCACTCACTCAGTCAGTCACTCAGTCAGTCAGTCACTCAGTCAGTCACTCAGTCACTCAGTCAGTCACTCAGTCACTCACTCAGTCAGTCACTCAGTCAGTCAGTCACTCAGTCACTCAGTCAGTCAGTCACTCAGTCAGTCAGTCACTCAGTCAGTCAGTCACTCACTCAGTCAGTCACTCACTCAGTCACTCAGTCACTCACTCAGTCACTTAGTCACTCAGTCAGTCAGTCAGTCACTCAGTCACTCACTCAGACACTCAGTCAGTCACTCAGTCAGTCACTCAGTCACTCACTCACTCACTCATCCACTCACTCACTCAGTCAGTCACTCACTCAGTCACTCAGTCAGTCACTCACTCAGTCAGTCACTCATCCACTCACTCAGTCACTCAGTCAGTCACTCAGTCAGTCACTCAGTCAGTCACTCAGTCACTCAGTCAGTCACTCACTCAGTCAGTCAGTCACTCACTCAGTCACTCAGTCACTCACTCAGTCACTTAGTCACTCATTCAGTCAGTCAGTCACTCAGTCACTCACTCAGTCACTCACTCAGTCACTCAGTCAGTGACTCAGTCAGTTACTCAGTCAGTTACTCAGTCAGTCAGTTAGTCAGTCACTCAGTCAGTCACTTAGTCAGTCACTCACTCAGTCAGTCACTCACTCAGTCACTTAGTCACTCACTCAGTCACTCACTCACTCAATCACTCAGTCACTCACTCAGTCACTCACTCAGTCACTCACTCAGTCACTCAGTCACTCACTCAGTCACTCACTCAGTCACTCACTCAGTCACTCAGTCAGTGACTCAGTCAGTTACTCAGTCAGTTACTCAGTCAGTCAGTTAGTCAGTCACTCAGTCAGTCAGTCACTTAGTCAGTCACTCACTCAGTCAGTCACTCACTCACTCAGTCACTTAGTCACTCACTCAGTCAGTCACTCAGTCAGTCACTCAGTCACTCAGTCACTCACTCAGTCACTCACTCAGTCACTCACTCAGTCACTCAGTCACTTACTCAGTCAGTCAGTTAGTCACTCACTCAGTCACTCACTCAGTCACTCAGTCACTCACTCAGTCACTCACTCAGTCAGTCAGTTAGTCACTCACTCACTCAGTCACTCACTCAGTCACTCAGTCACTCACTGACTCACTCAGTCACTCAGTCAGTCAGTCACTCACTCAGTCACTCACTCAGTCACTCAGTCACTCAGTCAGTCACTCAGTCAGTCACTCAGTCACTCAGTCACTCACTCAGTCACTCACTCAGTCACTCAGTCACTCACTCACTCAGTCACTCAGTCAGTCACTCAGTCAGTCACTCAGTCACTCAGTCACTCACTCAGTCACTCACTCAGTCACTCAGTCACTCACTCAGTCACTCACTCAGTCACTCACTCAGTCAGTCAGTTAGTCACTCACTCACTCAGTCACTCACTCAGTCACTCAGTCACTCACTGACTCACTCAGTCACTCAGTCAGTCAGTCACTCACTCAGTCACTCACTCAGTCACTCAGTCACTCAGTCAGTCACTCAGTCAGTCACTCAGTCACTCAGTCACTCACTCAGTCACTCACTCAGTCACTCAGTCACTCACTCACTCAGTCACTCAGTCAGTCACTCAGTCAGTCACTCAGTCACTCAGTCACTCACTCAGTCACTCACTCAGTCACTCAGTCACTCACTCACTCAGTCACTCACTCAGTCACTCAGTCAGTCAGTCACTCACTCACTCAGTCACTCACTCACTCACTCAGTCACTCAGTCAGTCACTCACTCATTCACTCACTCAGTCACTCAGTCACTCACTCAGTCACTCACTCAGTCACTCAGTCACTCACTCACTCAGTCACTCACTCAGTCACTCAGTCACTCACTCAGTCACTCACTCAGTCACTCAGTCACTCACTCAGTCAGTCACTCACTCACTCAGTCACTCACTCACTCACTCAGTCACTCACTCACTCACTCAGTCACTCACTCAGTCACTCACTCAGTCACTCAGTCACTCACTCACTCAGTCACTCACTCAGTCACTCAGTCACTCACTCACTCAGTCACTCAGTCACTCACTCACTCAGTCACTCACTCACTCAGTCACTCAGTCAGTCACTCAGTCACTCAGTCACTCAGTCACTCACTCACCCACTCACTCCCCCCCCACCCACCCCACCCCCCCCTCAGCCCTCCCCAAGCCCCCATCGACCCCCCAGGTGACCGAGACGACTGCCACCAGCGTCACCATCACGTGGGACCCTGGCAATGCAGACCACGTGCTCTATTACGTCATCCAGGTGGGGGGTAGTGGGGGGGGGGGGGTGATGGTGGGGGGGTGGTGGTGGGGGGGTGGTGGTGGGGGGGGTGGTGGTGGTGGGGGTGATGGTGGTGGTGGTGATGGTGGTGGTGGTGATGGTGGTGGTGGTGGTGATGGTGGTGGTGGTGATGGTGGTGGTGGAGGTGGTGGTGGTGGTGGTGGTGGTGATGGTGGTGATGGTGGTGATGGTGGTGGTGGTGATGGTGGTGGTGATGGTGGTGGTGGTGGTGATGGTGGTGGTGGTGATGGTGGTGATGGTGGTGGTGGTGGTGGTGATGGTGGTGATGGTGATGGTGGTGGTGGTGATGGTGGTGGTGGTGATGGTGGTGGTGGTGGTGATGGTGGTGGTGGTGGTGGTTGTGGTAATGATGGTGGTGGTGATGGTGGTGGTGGTGGTGGTGATGGTGGTGTTGATGGTGGTGGTGGAAGTGGTGGTGATGGTGAGTTGATGGTAGTGGTGGTGGTGGAGGTGGTGGTGATGGTGGTGGTGATGTTGATGGTGGTGGTGGTGATGTTGATGGTGGTGGTGGTGGTGATGGTGGTGGTGGTGATGGTGGTGGTGGTGATGGTGGTGGTGATGTTGATGGTGGTGGTGGTGATGTTGATGGTGGTGGTGGTGATGGTGGTGGTGGTGTTGATGGTAGTGGTGATGGTGGTGGTAATGTTGATGGTGGTGATGGTGGTGGTGGTAGTGGTGGTGGTGGTGGTGATGGTGGAGGTGGTGGTGATGGTGGTGGAGGTGGTGGTGATGGTGGTGTTGATGGTAGTGGTGGTGGTGGTGATGATGGTGGTGGTGGTAGTGGTGGTGATGGTGGTGGTGGTGATGGTGGAGGTGATGGTGATGGTAGTGGTGGTGGTGATGTTGATGGTGGTGGTGGTAGTGGTGGTGGTAGTGAGTTGATGGTAGTGGTGGTGGTGGTTGTGGTAATGATGGTGGTGGTGATGGTGGTGGTGGTGGTGGTGATGGTGGTGTTGATGGTGGTGGTGGAAGTGGTGGTGATGGTGAGTTGATGGTAGTGGTGGTGGTGGAGGTGGTGGTGATGGTGGTGGTGATGTTGATGGTGGTGGTGGTGATGTTGATGGTGGTGGTGGTGGTGGTGATGGTGGTGATGGTGGTGGTGGTGATGGTGGTGGTGGTGATGGTGGTGGTGATGTTGATGGTGGTGGTGGTGATGTTGATGGTGGTGGTGGTGATGGTGGTGGTGGTGTTGATGGTAGTGGTGATGGTGGTGGTAATGTTGATGGTGGTGATGGTGGTGGTGGTAGTGGTGGTGGTGGTGGTGATGGTGGAGGTGGTGGTGATGGTGATGGAGGTGGTGGTGATGGTGGTGTTGATGGTAGTGGTGGTGGTGGTGATGTTGATGGTGGTGGTGGTAGTGGTGGTGATGGTGGTGGTGGTGATGGTGGAGGTGATGGTGATGGTAGTGGTGGTGGTGATGTTGATGGTGGTGGTGGTAGTGGTGGTGGTAGTGAGTTGATGGTAGTGGTGGTGGTGGTTGTGGTAATGATGGTGGTGGTGATGGTGGTGGTGGTGGTGATGGTGGTGTTGATGGTGGTGGTGGAAGTGGTGGTGATGGTGAGTTGATGGTAGTGGTGGTGGTGGAGGTGGTGGTGATGGTGGTGGTGATGTTGATGGTGGTGGTGGTGATGTTGATGGTGGTGGTGGTGGTGATGGTGGTGATGGTGGTGGTGGTGATGGTGGTGGTGGTGATGGTGGTGGTGATGTTGATGGTGGTGGTGGTGATGTTGATGGTGGTGGTGGTGATGGTGGTGGTGGTGTTGATGGTAGTGGTGATGGTGGTGGTAATGTTGATGGTGGTGATGGTGGTGGTGGTAGTGGTGGTGGTGGTGGTGGTGATGGTGGAGGTGGTGGTGATGGTGGTGGAGGTGGTGGTGATGGTGGTGTTGATGGTAGTGGTGGTGGTGGTGATGTTGATGGTGGTGGTGGTAGTGGTGGTGATGGTGGTGGTGGTGATGGTGGAGGTGATGGTGATGGTAGTGGTGGTGGTGATGTTGATGGTGGTGGTGGTAGTGGTGGTGGTAGTGAGTTGATGGTAGTGGTGGTGGTGGTTGTGGTAATGATGGTGGTGGTGATGGTGGTGGTGATGGTGGTGTTGATGGTGGTGGTGGAAGTGGTGGTGATGGTGAGTTGATGGTAGTGGTGGTGGTGGAGGTGGTGGTGATGGTGGTGGTGATGTTGATGGTGGTGGTGGTGATGTTGATGGTGGTGGTGATGGTGGTGGTGGTGATGGTGGTGGTGGTGATGGTGGTGGTGATGTTGATGGTGGTAGTGGTGATGTTGATGGTGGTGGTGGTGATGGTGGTGGTGGTGTTGATGGTAGTGGTGATGGTGGTGGTAATGTTGATGGTGGTGATGGTGGTGGTGGTAGTGGTGGTGGTGGTGGTGATGGTGGAGGTGGTGGTGATGGTGGTGGAGGTGGTGGTGATGGTGGTGTTGATGGTAGTGGTGGTGGTGGTGATGTTGATGGTGGTGGTGGTAGTGGTGGTGATGGTGGTGGTGGTGATGGTGGAGGTGATGGTAGTGGTGGTGGTGATGTTGATGGTGGTGGTGGTAGTGGTGGTGGTAGTGAGTTGATGGTAGTGGTGGTGGTGGTTGTGGTAATGATGGTGGTGGTGATGGTGGTGGTGGTGGTGATGGTGGTGTTGATGGTGGTGGTGGAAGTGGTGGTGATGGTGAGTTGATGGTAGTGGTGGTGGTGGAGGTGGTGGTGATGGTGGTGGTGATGTTGATGGTGGTGGTGGTGATGTTGATGGTGGTGGTGGTGGTGATGGTGGTGATGGTGGTGGTGGTGATGGTGGTGGTGGTGATGGTGGTGGTGATGTTGATGGTGGTGGTGGTGATGTTGATGGTGGTGGTGGTGATGGTGGTGGTGGTGTTGATGGTAGTGGTGATGGTGGTGGTAATGTTGATGGTGGTGATGGTGGTGGTGGTAGTGGTGGTGGTGGTGATGGTGGAGGTGGTGGTGATGGTGGTGGAGGTGGTGGTGATGGTGGTGTTGATGGTAGTGGTGGTGGTGGTGATGTTGATGGTGGTGGTGGTAGTGGTGGTGATGGTGGTGGTGGTGATGGTGGAGGTGATGGTGATGGTAGTGGTGGTGGTGATGTTGATGGTGGTGGTGGTAGTGGTGGTGGTAGTGAGTTGATGGTAGTGGTGGTGGTGGTGGTTGTGGTAATGATGGTGATGTTGATGGTGGTGGAGGTGGTGGTGGTGATGGTGAAGGTGGTGGTGATGTTGATGGTAGTGGTGATGGTGGTGGTGATGGTGAGTTGATGGTAGTGGTGGTGGTGGAGGTGGTGATGGTGGTGGTGGAGGTGGTGGTGGTGATGGTGGAGGTGGTGGTGGTGGTGATGGGGGTGGTGGTGATGGTGGTGGAGGTGGTGGTGGTGGTGGTGATGGTGATGGTGGTGGTGATGGTGGTGGTGATGGTGGTGGTGGTGGTGGTGATGGTGAGTTGATGGTAGTGGTGGAGGTGGTGGTGATGGTGATGTTGATGGTGGTGGAGGTGGTGGTGGTGATGGTGAAGGTGGTGGTGATGTTGATGGTGGTGGTGGTGGAAGTGGTGGTGATGGTGATGGTGGTGGTGGTGGTGATGGGGGTGGTGGTGGTGATGGTGATGGTGGTGGTGGTGGTGATGGGGGTGGTGGTGATGGGGGTGGTGGTGATGGTGGTGATGTTGATGGTAGTGGTGGTGATGGTGGTGGTGGTGATGTTGATGGTGGTGGAGGTGGTGGTGGTAGTGGTTGTGGTAATGGTGGTGGTGGTGATGGTGGTGGAGGTGGTGGTGGTAGTGGTGGAGGTGGTGGTGATGTTAATGGTGGTGGTGGTGATGGTGGTGATGTTGATGGTGGTGGTGGTAGTGGTAGTGAGTTGATGGTAGTGGTGGTGGTGGTTGTGGTAATGATGGTGATGTTGATGGTGGTGGAGGTGGTGGTGGTGATGGTGAAGGTGGTGGTGGTGGTGATGGTGATGGTGGTGGTGATGGTGGTGGTGATGGTGGTGATGTTGATGGTAGTGGTGGTGATGGTGGTGGTGGTGATGTTGATGGTGGTGGAGGTGGTGGTGGTAGTGGTTGTGGTAATGGTGGTGATGTTGATGGTGGTGGAGGTGGTGGTGGTAGTGGTTGTGGTAATGGTGGTGATGTTGATGGTGGAGGTGGTGGTGGTAGTGGTTGTGGTAATGGTGGTGATGTTGATGGTGGTGGAGGTGGTGGTGATGTTGATGATGGTGGTGGAGGTGGTGGTGGTGGTAGTGGTGGTAGTGGTGTTGGTGGAGGTGGTGGTGATGTTGATGGTAGTGGTGGTGATGGAGGTGGTGGTGATGGGGGTGGTGGTGGTAGTGGTGGTAGTGGTGGTGGTGGTGGTGATGGTGGTGGTGGTGGAGGTTGTGGTGATGGTGGTGATGTTGATGGTCGTGGTGATGTTAATGATGATGTTGATGATGATTATGGTGATGATGTTGATGATGATGATGGTGGTGATGATGATGATGCTGATGTTGATGGTTGTGATGTTGATGATTTTGATGACGATGTTGATGATGATGCTGATGATGGTGGTGATGTTGATGATGTTGATGATGATGAAAATGATGATGATCCTGCTGATGATGATGGTGGTGATGTTGATGATGTTAATGATGATGTTGATGATGCGATGATGATGGTGGTGATGTTGATGATGTTGATGGTGGTGATGATGATGTTGATGATGATGTTAATGATGATGGTGGTGATGCTGATGATGATGGTGGTGATGCTGATGATGATGGTTGTTATGCTGATAATGATGATGATGTTAATGATGATGATGGTGGTGATGCTGATGATGATGATGTTAATGGTGGTGGTGATGGTGATGATGATGATGTTAATGATGATGATGGTGGTGATGATCCTGATGATGTTGATGATGATGTTAATGATGTTGATGTTGATGATGGTGCTGATGATGATGGTGGTAATGATGTTGATGATGATGGTGGTGATGCTGATGATGATGATGTTGGTGGTGATGCTGCTGATGATGATGTTAATGATGATGATGATGGTGATGTTAATGATGATGATGCTGGTGATGATGTTAATGATGATGATGATGCTGGTGATGTTAATGATGATGTTAATGATGATGATGGTGATGTTAATGATGTTAATTATGATGATGCTGGTGATGATGATGATGATGTTAATGATGATGATGGTGATGTTAATGATGATGATGATGATGCTGGTGATGATGCTTCTCAGTATCGAGCCAAAAACGGAGATTCCGGTGGACAGGGTCTCAACACTGCGCTGGGTGGTGGAGGGAGCCACAACAACAACAACCACCACAACAACAACAACAACAACCACAACTCCTACACAGAGGTTAACAGCGTCGCCACGACGAGATACAGGTGGGCAACAGGGAGGCTGAGACACTCACAGAGACACACACAGACACAGAGACTCATGGACAGACATACACACACAGAGGTTCACTCAGAGACACACACAGAGACTCACAGAGACTCACAGACACCCACAGAGACTCACAGAGACACACAGAGACTCACAGAGACTCACAGAGACTCACAGACACACATAGAGACTCATGGACAGACATACACACACAGAGATTCACTCAGAGACACTCAGAGACACTCACAGAGACTCACATAGACACACACACAGAGACAGACGTAGACACAGAGACACACACAGAGACTCACAGAGACTCACAGAGACACACAGAGACACACAGAGACTCACAGAGACACAGAGACTCACAGAGACTCACACAGAGACCCACAGTGACTCACAGAGACTCAGAGACACCCACAGAGACTCACAGAGACACACAGAGACCCACAGAGACTCACAGAGACTCACAGACACCCACAGAGACCCACAGAGACTCACAGACACCCACAGAGACTCACAGAGACTTTACAGAGACTCACAGAGACACACAGACACCCACAGAGACTCACAGAGACTCACAGAGACTCACAGACACCCACAGAGACTCACAGAGACTCACAGAGACACAGACACTCACAGAGACTCACAGACACTCACAGAGAAACACAGAGACTCACAGAGACTCACAGAGACACACAGAGACTCACAGAGACTCACAGAGACTCACAGAGACCCCCAGAGACTCACAGAGACTCACAGAGACCCACAGAGACTCACAGAGACTCACAGACACCCACAGAGACCCACAGAGACTCACAGAGACACAGAGACTCACAGAGACTCACAGAGACACACAGAGACACACAGAGACTCACAGAGACCCACAGAGACTCACAGAGACTCACAGAGACACAGAGACTCACAGAGACTCACAGAGACACACAGAGACTCACAGAGACCCACAGAGACTCACAGAGACCCACAGAAACCCACAGAGACAGAGATACACAGAGACCCACAGAGACTCACAGAGACAGAGACCCACAGAGACTCACACAGAGACCCACAGACACTCACAGAGACTCATAGACACTCACTCAGAGACACTCAGAGAGACACACACAGAGACACACAGAGACTCACAGAGACCCACAGAGACACATAGAGACACACACATAGACACTCACAGAGAGACACACAGAGAGACACACAGAGAGACACACAGAGACTCACAGAGACCCACAGAGACACACAGAGACAGAGACTCACAGAGACAGAGACCCACAGAGACTTACACAGAGACCCACAGAGACTCACAGAGACCCACAGAGACCCACAGAGACAGAGATACACAGAGACTCACACAGAGACCCACAGACACTCACAGAGACTCATAGACACTCACTCAGAGACACTCAGAGAGACACACACAGAGACTCACAGACACCCACAGAGACCCACAGAGACTCACACAGAGACCCACAGACACTCACAGAGACTCATAGACACTCACTCAGAGACACTCAGAGAGACACACACAGAGACTCACAGACACCCACAGAGACCCACAGAGACAGAGATACACAGAGACCCACAGAGACACACAGAGACAGAGACTCACAGAGACAGAGACCCACAGAGACTCACACAGAGACCCACAGACACTCACAGAGACTCATAGACACTCACTCAGAGACACTCAGAGAGACACACACAGAGACTCACAGACACCCACAGTGACACCCACGTAGACCCACGTAGACCCACGTAGACTCACAGAGACTCACAGAGACCCACGTAGACTCACAGACACCCACAGAGACACTCACAGACACCCACGTAGACTCACAGACACCCACAGAGACACTCACAGACACCCACAGAGACACACAGAGACACCCACAGAGACCCATGTAGACTCACACAGACACCCACAGAGACAACCACAGAGACTCACTGTGACTCACAGAGACTCACTGTGACTCATAGAGACCCACAGAGACACCCACAGACACTCACGTAGACCCACAGAGACACCCACTTAGACTCACACAGACACCCACAGAGACTCACACAGACACTCACAGACACCCACTTAGACTCACAGAGACTCACAGAGACTCACAGAGACACACAGACACCCACGTAGACTCACAGAGACTCACAGAGACTCACAGAGACTCACAGTGACACTCACGTAGACTCACACAGAGACTCACAGAGACTCACAGACACCCACGTAGACTCACAGACACTCACAGAGACTCACAGAGACACACAGACACCCACGTAGACTCACAGAGACTCACAGAGACTCACAGACACTCACAGTGACACCCACGTAGACCCACGACTGTCCCATCGTGCAGCGTGGGAGGGCTGAGCCCCTTCTCTGACTCACAGAGACTCACAGAGACTCATAGAGACCCACGTAGACACCCACACAGTGACTCACAGAGACTCACACAGAGACTCACAGTGACTCACAGTGACTCACAGAGACTCACACAGACACTCACAGACACCCACGTAGACTCACACAGACACCCACGTAGACCCACGTAGACTCACAGAGACTCACAGACACCCACACAGTGACTCACGTAGACTCACAAAGAGACTCACAGACACCCACAGTGACCCACGTAGACTCACACAGAGACCCACAGAGACCCACAGTGACACCCACAGAGACTCACAGTGACCCACGTAGACTCACACAGAGACTCACAGAGACTCACAGAGACTCACACAGTGACTCACGTAGACTCACACAGAGACTCACAGAGACTCACAGAGACTCACGTAGACACACGTAGACTCACACAGAGACTCACAGAGACCCACGTAGACTCATGACTGTCTCCTCGTGCAGCGTGGGAGGGCTGAGCCCCTTCTCTGACTCACAGAGACTCACAGAGACTCATAGAGACTCACAGACACCCACAGTGACTGACAGTGACTCACAGAGACTCACAGAGACTCATAGAGACCCACGTAGACCCACACAGAGACTCACAGTGACTCACGTAGACTCACACAGAGACTCACAGAGACCCACGTAGACCCACACAGACACCCACAGACACTCACAGACACCCACAGTGACCCACGTAGACTCACAGACACCCACGTAGACCCACACAGAGACTCACAGACACTCACACGGACACTCACGTAGACCCACGTAGACTCACAGAGACTCACAGAGACTCACAGAGACACACAGACACCCACAGACACTCACAGTGACTCACACAGACACCCACGTAGACCCACGTAGACCCACGTAGACTCACAGAGACACACAGACACCCACAGAGACACACAGACCCACACAGTGACACCCACGTAGACCCACGTAGACTCACAGGGACTCACAGAGACTCACGTAGACCCACGTAGACACACAGAGACCCACAGACACCCACAGAGACTCACAGACACTCACAGAGACTCACGTAGACCCACGTAGACTCACACAGAGATACCCACAGTGACTCACAGAGAGACACCCACAGAGACCCACGTAGACACCCACAGAGACACCCACGGAGACACCCACGTAGACTCACAGAGACTCCCACAGAGACTCACAGAGACTCACAGAGACACCCACAGTTACCCACGTAGACCCACAGACACCCACAGAGACACTCACAGACACCCACAGAGACTCACAGTGACCCACGTAGACTCACACAGACACCCACAGAGACTCACAGAGACACCCACAGAGACCCATGTAGACTCACACAGACACCCACAGAGACAACCACAGAGACTCACTGTGACTCACAGAGACTCACTGTGACTCATAGAGACCCACAGAGACACCCACAGACACTCACGTAGACCCACAGAGACACCCACGTAGACTCACACAGACACCCACAGAGACTCACACAGAGACTCACAGAGACTCACACGTAGACTCACACAGAGACCCACAGTGACTCACAGAGACCCACAGATACTCACAGAGAGACACCCACAGAGACCCACGTAGACACCCACAGAGACACCCACAGAGACACCCACGTAGACCCACAGAGACACCCACGTAGACTCACACAGACACCCACAGAGACTCACACAGAGACTCACAGACACCCACAGTGACTCACGTAGACCCACGTAGACTGTCCCCTCGTGTAGCGTGGGAGGGCTGAGCCCCTTCTCTGACTCACAGAGACTCACAGAGACTCACAGAGACTCACAGTGACCCACAGAGACTCACAGAGACACCCACAGAGACACCCACGTAGACTCACAGAGACTCACACAGAGACTCACAGAGACTCACAGAGACTCACACGTAGACTCACAGAGACTCACACAGAGACTCACAGAGACTCACAGAGACTCACAGAGACTCACACGTAGACTCACACAGAGACCCACAGTGACTCACAGAGACTCACAGTGACTCACAGAGACTCACAGACACCCACAGAGACACCCACGTAGACTCACAGAGACTCACACAGAGACTCACAGAGACTCACAGAGACTCACAGAGACTCACACGTAGACTCACACAGAGACCCACAGTGACTCACAGAGACTCACAGTGACTCACACAGACACCCACGTAGACTCACAGAGACTCACAGAGACTCACAGAGACTCACAGACACCCACAGTGACACTCACATAGACCCACGTAGACTCACACAGAGACCCACAGAGACTCACACAGAGACCCACAGACACTCACAGAGACTCATAGACACTCACTCAGAGACACTCAGAGAGACACACACAGAGACTCACAGACACCCACAGAGACTCACAGAGACAGAGATACACAGAGACCCACAGAGACACACAGAGACAGAGACTCACAGAGACAGAGACCCACAGAGACTCACACAGAGACCCACAGACACTCACAGAGACTCACAGACACTCACAGAGACTCACAGAGACTCACAGACACCCACAGTGACCCACAGAGACACCCACAGAGACCCACGTAGACCCACGTAGACCCACGTAGAATGTCTCCTCGTGCAGCGTGGGAGGGCTGAGCCCCTTCTCTGACTCACAGAGACTCACACAGAGACTCACAGAGACTCACAGAGACTCACAGAGACTCACGTAGACTCACGTAGACTCACAGTGACCCACGTAGACCCACGTAGACTCACAGAGACTCACACAGACACTCACGTAGACCCACGTAGACTCACAGAGACTCACACAGACACTCACGTAGACTCACAGAGACTCACACAGACACTCACGTAGACCCACGTAGACTCACAGAGACTCACAGAGACTCATAGAGAGACACCCACACAGTGACTCACAGAGACTCACACAGAGACTCACAGGGACTCACACGTAGACCCACGTAGACTCACAGAGACTCACACAGACACTCACGTAGACTCACACAGAGACTCACACAGAGACTCACGTAGACCCACGTAGACCCACGACTGTCTCCTCGTGCAGCGTGGGAGGGCTGAGCCCCTTCTCTGACTCACAGAGACTCACACAGTGACTCACAGAGACCCACAGAGACTCACAGAGACCCACAGTGACCCACAGAGACTCACACAGAGACTCACAGAGACACCCACAGTGACCCATGACTGTCTCCCCGTGCAGCGTGGGAGGGCTGAGCCCCTTCTCTGACTCACAGAGACTCACAGACACTCACAGAGACTCACAGAGACTCACAGAGACACCCACAGTGACCCACGACTGTCTCCCCGTGCAGCGTGGGAGGGCTGAGCCCCTTCTCTGACTCAGAGACTCACAGAGACTCACAGAGACCCACGTAGACACCCACAGTGACTCACGTAGACTCACACAGAGACTCACAGACACTCACAGACACCCACGACTGTCTCCTCCTGCAGCGTGGGAGGGCTGAGCCCCTTCTCTGACTCACAGAGACACTCACACAGACACTCACAGAGACCCACAGAGACTCACAGAGACTCACAGACACTCACAGACACTCACAGACACTCACACAGAGACTCACAGAGACCCACAGAGACTCACAGAGACACTCACAGACACCCATGTAGACTGTCTCCCCGTGCAGCGTGGGAGGGCTGAGCCCCTTCTCTGACTCACAGAGACTCACAGAGACCCACAGAGACACACAGAGACCCACAGAGACTCACAGAGACCCACAGAGACACACAGAGACTCACAGACACTCACAGAGACTCACACAGACTCACAGAGACACTCACAGTGACCCACGACTGTCTCCCCGTGCAGTGTGGGAGGGCTGAGCCCCTTCTCTGACTACGAGCTCCGGGTACTTGCCGTCAACTCGGTGGGGCGCGGTGGGCCGAGCGAGGCGGTGGAGGCCCGGACCGGGGAGCAACCCCCCTCCACGTCGCCACGGCAACTACAGGTAGACACACACACACACACAGACACACACACATGCATACAGTCACACACACATACATACAGTCACACACACAGACACACACACAGACACACACACAGACACACAGACACACACACAGACACACACACACAATCACACACACAGTCACACATACACAGACACACACACACATGCAGTCACACACACAGACACACAGACACACACAAAGACACACACACACACAGACAACAACAACAACAACAACCGCCATTCGCCACTAAGTGGCGGTGACGTCACCACGACGCTTGTGCCAGGCTATGTGCACCCTGAGGCCACGTGAAGTGTCGAACGCCCGCTGGCAGGAGGTCACGGGGCAGACCCAGGTGCCACGGGTCGACTGACTGAGATGACTGGCTGATGCACCACCTGTGCCCCCTACTGTGCCAACCTGCTGTGCTTTAGCCACCCGGCGCTCCGCTCGCTGTTGTGAGCGTCGCTCCTCCGCCCTCCGTTGTTGTTGGAGGGCGACTGCCTCCAACTGCCCAGTAGCATCCTTCACGAGCCTCCTCCACAGAGGCCGATCTTGACACCGCTGGTACCAGTCATCGGCAAGTCCACTCAGCTCCACGTCCTCCTCTACCACATCACTCCATCTCTTCTCTAGCCCGTGCCGCGCCCGCTTAGCCCCCTCAATCCGGCCAAACAAAAGCTGTTTCGGCATGCGGTGGCTGGGCATGCGGGCTACATGACCCAGCCATCGCAGCCTTGCCTGCCGGAGGAGCTCACCGATGGGACCCTGCCCAGATCTTTCAAGGATTTGTGAGCTCCTCACACAATCCAGTCTGGTTAAACCCAGGATGGATCGTAGGCAGGCCAGCCTAAATGTTTCTAACCGGCGAAGATGTTCCATTAGGGGGGTCCACGTTTCGCAAGCATAGAGAAGGGAGGGAATGACCGTGGCCGAGAAGACCTGAAGCTTAGTGCGGAGCGACAGACCAGGTAGCTTCCACACAGCGTTACGCAACCGATGAAAAGATATTGCCGCTCGACTGATTCGGAGTGAGACCTCTGCTGTTAAACTGGAGCCAGTCATAAGCACACTGCCCAGGTATGGGAAACTCTCCACTCTCTCCACAACTGCCCCATCACCGATTGGGAGTTGTGGTGGTGGAGTGTCCGATGGTACAAAATACCCAGGCAGGTGCTTAGTTTTGGTGGGGCTGATGGTAAGGCCCCACCTCTTAGTGGCATGCTCCAGTCTCAGCAGCAGCGTCTCCAACTCCTCCTCTGACTGAGCAGCTATTACCAAGTCATCAGCATACATAACGTGGTTGAGCAATAGGGAGCCATCCCTTGACCGCACCCGGGCATCGATTAGCCTCCCATTATATCTGTACCATATGGAGATTCCCCCGGTACAGCTATTGAAGGCTTCACGAACTACGTGGTCAAAATAGATGTTAAATAATGTGGGAGCCAAAGGACATCCCTGTCGCACCCCAAGGTGTACAGGGAATGGCTCTGACTCCCGGCCACGTAGTTTTACCCGGGCCCGCTCACCATCATGAAGGTCCTTAATGATCGTGAGCAGAGGGTCAGGTACTCCAAAAGCACGAAGAACGACCCAGAGCCCAGGCCTACTGATGGTATCATAGGCCTTGACCAGGTCAATAAAGCAGAGGTGTAGGTCTTGTTGGAATTCCCTACACCTCTGCTGTAGCAGACGGACAGAAAATATGGCATCTGTGCAGGACCGCCCTTTCCTGAAACCGCATTGGGGCTCCGCAAGCCTCTCCTCAGCGTGCCTGGCAAGGCGATGCTGAATAATCCTTGCCAGGACCTTTCCCGGCACACTGAGGAGTGAGATGCCCCGGTAGTTGTTACAGTCTGTGCGGTCCCCCTTCTTAAAAAGGGGGACCACCAGGGCATCCTTCCAATCCTGCGGAACCCGTCCAGTGATCCAGACTGTTGTTATGATGTCATATAGGGCAGTCTGTGCACAAACGCCACCCTCCCTCAGCATTTCGCTTGGGAGATCATCTCTGCCCGCTGCCTTTCCTGGTCTCAGACTCCGGATCGCCTTCAATACTTCCTCAGCAGATGGCACCTCAGCCAGCCACTCACAGGGGGTGACTTCATCCAACATTTGAGGCACCGCAGCCTCAGCAGGGTCATCCTCACTTTGTGCCACGATGTTTTCCTGGCTGAGGGATTTTCCCTCCCCCAGGACCTCACAGAAATGCTCAGCAAATCTGCGAACCTGTTCCTGGGGGTCGGAAATTGGATCACCGTTTTTTTCCCCTAATGATGGTAATAGGTGTGGTGCTGCAGGTTACTTTTTTGATGGAGTTAAATAGAGATTTGTGTGTTGTTGTTGTCTGTGTGTCTGTGTGTGTCTGTATCTTTGTCTGTGTGTGTGTGTCTGTGTGTGTGGGTGTGTCTGTGTGTGTGTGTGTCTGTGTCTGTTTGTGTGACTGTGTGTGTGTGTGACTGTGTGTGTGTGTGACTGTGTATCTGTGTGTGTGTGTCTGTATGTATGTGTGTGTCTGTGTGTGTGTATCTGTGTTGGTGTCTATATCTGTGTGTGTCTGTGTGTGTGTTTGTGTGTGTGTCTGTGTGTGTACTGTGTGTGTGTATGTATCTGTATGTGTGAGTGTGTGTGTCTGTGTGTGTGTGTGTGTCTGTGTGTATCTCTCTGTGTGTCTGTGTGTGTGTGTGTCTGTGTGTGTGTCTGTGTGTGTATCTGTGTGTGTATCTGTGTGTCTATATCTGTGTGTGTCTGTGTGTGTCTGTGTGTGTGTGTGTATCTGTGTGTCTATATCTGTATCTGTGTGTATCTGTGTGTGTGTGTCTGTGTGTGTGTGTATCTGTGTGTGTATCTATATCTATATGTGTGTATGTAACTCCTCCCCCAATCCACCACCACCACCCCTCCAAGGCACGGATGCTGAGCTCCAGCACAGTGCTAGTCCAGTGGGAGGAGCCCTTGGAGCCCAATGGAGTGGTGCGTGGATACCGAGTCTACTACACTACAGATGCCTCTCAGCCACTGCACGCCTGGCCCAAGCACAGTGTTGACAGCAGCTTGCTCACCACCATCGGCAGCCTCACTCCTCAGGCCACCTACACGCTCAGGGCCCTGGCCTACACGGGCGTGGGAGATGGGCCTCTCTCGCCGCCCATACAGATCAAGGCCCAGCAGGGCGGTGAGTGTGTGGGTGGGTGGGTGGGTGAGTGGGTGAGTGAGTGGGTGGGTGGGTGAGTGGATGAATGGGTCAGTGAGTTGTGAGTGGTTGAGTGAGTGGGTGGGTGGGTGAGTAAGTGGGTGAGTGAGTGAGTGAGTGGGTGGGTGAGTGGGTGGGTGGGTGAGTGGGTGGGTGGGTGAGTGGGTGGGTGGGTGAATGGGTCAGTGAGTTGTGAGTTGTTGAGTGAGTGGGTGGGTGGGTGAGTAAGTGGGTGGGTGTCTGGGTGAGTGGGTGGGTGAGTGGGTGAGTGAGTGGGTGGGTGATTGAGTGGATGAATGATTGTATGAGTGAGTTATCCTCCCCTCACTCTCCTCCCGCTCTCCCCCCACTCTCCCCCCACTCTCCCCCCACTCTCCCCCCACCTAGTTCCCAGCCAGCCCTCGGCCCTGTCTGCCGTGGCCATCTCTCACTCGGAGATTTCACTTTCCTGGACAGCCCCACGGCAGGAGGTGGTCACTCGCTACGAGCTGAGATACGGACCCACACGCACGGGGGAGCAGGTACTCACCAGTCGCTCACCCAGCCGCTCACTCACTCACTCACCCACCCACTCACTCACTCACTCACCCAGCCGCTCACTCACTCACCCACTCACTCACCAGCCGCTCACCCAGCCGCTCACTCACCCACCCAATCACTCACACACCCAATCACTCACACACCCACCCACTCACTTACTCACCCACTCGCTCACCCACCCACTCACTTACTCACCAGTCGCTCACCCAGCCGCTCACTCACCCACCCAATCACTCACACACCCAATCACTCACACACCCACCCACTCACTTACTCACCCACTCGCTCACCCACCCACTCACTTACTCACCAGTCGCTCACCCAGCCGCTCACTCATCCACCCAATCACTCACCCACTCACTCACTCACTCACGCACACACTCACCCACTCGCTCACCCACCCAATCACTCACCCACTCACTCACTCACTCACCCACTCACTCACTCACCCACTCACTCACTCACCCACTCACTCACTCACTCACCCACTCACTCACTCACTCACCCACTCACTCACCCAGCCGCTCACTCACCCACCCAATCACTCACCCACTCACTCACCCACTCACTCACTCACCCACTCACTCACTCACCCACTCACCCACTCACTCACCCACTCACCCACCCACCCACCCAATCACTCACCCACTCACTCACTCACCCACTCACCCACTCACTCACTCACCCTCTCACTCACTCACTCACCCCCCCACTCACCCACTCACTCACTCACCCACTCACTCTCTCACCCACCCACCCACCCACTCACCCACCCACCCACTCACTCACCCACTCACTCTCTCACCCACCCACCCACCCACCCACCCTCTCGCCCTCTCTCCCAGCTGGTGGTGAGTTTCCCTCCAGCCACGTCCTACTCACTGCGGGGTCTCAGCGCGGACACGGAGTACTCTCTGACGCTGGCCGCTCGCTCCGACCTGGGTGTGGGCGCCTCAACAGCGCCGCTGGTGGTGTCAACCCTCCCGTCCGGTACTCCTCCTGCCCACACAGTGTCTCTGTCACAGTGTCTCACAGTGTCTCTGTCTCAGTGTCTCTCTCCCAGTGTCTCTCTCCCAGTGTCTCCCAGTGTCTCCCAGTGTCTCCCAGTGTCTCACAGTGTCTCTGTCACAGTGTCTCCCAGTGTCTCTGTCACAGTGTCTCTGTCCCCGTGTCTCTCTCCCAGTGTCTCCCAGTGTCTCCCAGTGTCTCCCAGTGTCTCACAGTGTCTCTGTCACAGTGTCTCCCAGTGTCTCCCAGTGTCTCTGTCTCAGTGTCTCTGTCCCAGTGTCTCTCTCCCAGTGTCTCACAGTGTCTCACAGTGTCTCCCCCAGTGTCTCCTAGTGTCTCACAGTGTCTCCCAGTGTCTCCAAGTGTCTCCCAGTGTCTCTCTCCCAGTGTCTCTGTCCCAGTGTCTCCCAGTGTCTCCCAGTGTCTCACAGTGTCTCTGTCACAGTGTCTCCCAGTGTCTCTGTCTCAGTGTCTCTGTCCCAGTGTCTCTCTCCCAGTGTCTCACAGTGTCTCCCAGTGTCTCCCAGTGTCTCCCAGTGTCTCTCTCCCAGTGTCTCTGTCCCAGTGTCTCCCAGTGTCTCCCAGTGTCTCCCAGTGTCTCCCAGTGTCTCTCTCCCCGTGTCTCCCAGTGTCTCCCAGTGTCTCTGTCCCCGTGTCTCCCAGTGTCTCTGTCCCCGTGTCTCCCAGTGTCTCCCCGTGTCTCTCTCCCCGTGTCTCCCAGTGTCTCCCAGTGTCTCTGTCCCCGTGTCTCTCTCCCAGTGTCTCCCAGTGTCTCCCAGTGTCTCTCCCCGTGTCTCTCTCCCAGTGTCTCCCCGTGTCTCTCACCCCGTGTCTCTCTCCCCGTGTCTCTGTCCCCGTGTCTCCCAGTGTCTCCCAGTGTCTCACAGTGTCTCTCCCCATGTCTCCCAGTGTCTCTCTCTCCCTGTCTCTCCCAGTGTCTCCCAGTGTCTCACAGTGTCTCTCTCCATGTCTCCCAGTGTCTCTCTCTCCCCGTGTCTCTCTCCCCGTGTCTCTCTCCCCGTGTCTCCCAGTCTCTCCCCGTGTCTCTCTCCCCACGTCTCTCCCCCCGTGTCTCTCCCCCCGTGTCTCTCTCCCCGTGTCTCTCCCCGTGTCTCCCCGTGTCTCTCCCCGTGTCTCCCCGTGTCTCCCCGTGTCTCCCCGTGTCTCTCCCCGTGTCTCTCCCCGTGTCTCTCCCCGTGTCTCCCAGTGTCTCCCCGTGTCTCCCAGTGTCTCCCCGTGTCTCCCCGTGTCTCCCAGTGTCTCTCCGCGTCTCCCCGCGTCTCCCAGTGTCTCCCCGTGTCTCCCCGTGTCTCCCCGTGTCTCCCAGTGTCTCCCCGTGTCTCCCAGTGTCTCCCCGTGTATCCCCGTGTCTCCCCGTGTCTCCCCGTGTCTCCCCGTGTATCCCCGTGTCTCCCCGTGTCTCTCCCCGTGTCTCCCCGTGTCTCCCCGTGTCTCCCCGTGTCTCCCCGTGTCTCCCCGTGTCTCCCAGTGTCTCCCCGTGTCTCTCCCCGTCTCTCCCAGTGTCTCCCCGTGTCTCCCCGTGTCTCCCCGTGTCTCTCCCCGTGTCTCCCCGTGTCTCTCCCCGTGTCTCCCAGTCTCTCCCCGTGTCTCCCAGTGTCTCCCCGTATCTCTCAGTGTCTCCCAATGTCTCCGTGTGTCTCCCAGTGTCTCTCCCTCTGTCTCCCCGTGTCTCCCAGTGTCTCCCCGTGTCTCCCCGTGTCTCTCCCCGTGTCTCCCCGTGTCTCCCAGTGTCTCCCCGTGTCTCCCCGTGTCTCCCCGTGTCTCTCCCCGTGTCTCCCCGTGTCTCTCCCCGTGTCTCCCAGTCTCTCCCCGTGTCTCCCCGTGTCTCCCCGTGTCTCCCCGTGTCTCCCAGTGTCTCCCCGTGTCTCCCCGTGTCTCCCAGTGTCTCCCCGTGTCTCCCAGTGTCTCCCCATGTCTCCCAGTGTCTCCCCGTGTCTCCCAGTGTCTCCCCGTGTCTCCCAGTGTCTCCCCGTGTCTCCCCGTGTCTCCCCGTGTCTCCCAGTGTCTCCCCGTGTCTCCCCGTGTCTCCCCGTGTCTCCCCGTGTCTCCCCGTGTCTCCCAGTGTCTCCCCATGTCTCCCAGTGTCTCCCCGTGTCTCCCAGTGTCTCCCCGTGTCTCCCAGTGTCTCCCCGTGTCTCCCCGTGTCTCCCCGTGTCTCCCAGTGTCTCCCCGTGTCTCCCCGTGTCTCCCCGTGTCTCCCCGTGTCTCCCCGTGTCTCTGCCCCCACACGGTACCGGCTTGCGTAGCGCAGAGAGGGAAGTCTTTGAGGTGTGAGCGAGTGGTGTGCCGTGACGATTAACCCACAATGCACCGTTGTGACCCATAATGCCGTGCGCATGGAGGATTCCCATTGGTTGCAAGGTCACAGGTAAGTGTGTGCAGTCACGTGTCACATGACGTGCCCTTAGACTCAGCACTGTCACAGACTCAGCACTGTCACAGACTCAGCAATGTCATAGACTCAGCACTGTCATAGACTCAGCACTGTCATAGACTCAGCACTGCCACCCATAGACTCAGCACTGTCATAGACTCAGCACTGTCACCCATAGACTCAGCACTGTCACCCATAGACTCAGCACTGTCACCCATAGACTCAGCACTGTCACCCATAGACTCAGCACTGTCACTCATAGACTCAGCACTGTCACCCATAGACTCAGCACTGTCATAGACTCAGCACTGTCACCCATAGACTCAGCACTGTCATAGACTCAGCATTGTCATAGACTCAGCACTGTCATAGACTCAGCACTGTCACCCATAGACTCAGCACTGTCATAGACTCAGCACTGTCATAGACTCAGCACTGTCATAGACTCAGCACTGCCACCCATAGACTCAGCACTGGCACCCATAGACTCAGCACTGCCACCCATAGACTCAGCACTGCCACCCATAGACTCAGCACTGCCACCCATAGACTCAGCACTGTCACCCATAGACTCAGCACTGCCACCCATAGACTCAGCACTGGCACCCATAGACTCAGCACTGTCACCCATAGACTCAGCACTGGCACCCATAGACTCAGCACTGCCACCCATAGACTCAGCACTGTCATAGACTCAGCACTGTCATAGACTCACACCCCACAGCCCCCTCAGCTCCCCCAGGCTTAATGGAAATGATCACACACACAGAGACACACAGAGAGACACACAGAGAGACACACAGAGAGACACAAACAGAGAGACACACAGAGAGACACACAGAGACACACAGAGAGACACAAACAGAGACACACACAGAGACACACACAGAGAGACACAAACAAGACACACACAGAGACACACACAGAGACACAAACAGAGACACACACAGAGACACACAGAGACACACAGAGAGACACAAACAAGACACACATAGAGACACAAACAGAGACACACACAGAGACACACACAGAGAGACACAAACAGAGACACACAGAGAGACACACAGAGAGACACACACAGAGAGACACACAGAGAGACACACAGAGACACACACAGAGAGACAAACAGAGACACACACACAGAGACACACAGAGAGACACACACAGAGAGACACACAGAGAGACACACAGAGAGACACACAGAGACACACACAGAGACACAAACAGAGACACACACAGAGACACACAGAGACACACACACAGAGACACACAGAGAGACACACAGAGAGACACACAGAGAGACACACACAGAGAGACACACAGAGAGACACACAGAGAGACACACACAGAGACACAAACAAGACACACACAGAGACACACACAGAGACACAAACAAGACACACACAGAGACACACAGAGAGACACACACAGAGACACACACAGAGAGACACACAGAGACACACACAGAGACACACACAGAGACACACACTTTAATATTATCTCTCCCCACCCCCCCCCCCACTCTCCCCCCCCCACTCTCCCCCCACTCTCCCCCCCACTCTCCCCAATCTCCCCCCCACTCCCCCACTCCCCTCTCCCCCCCACTCTCCCCCCCCACTCTCCCGCCACTCACTCACCCACCCACTCACCCACTCACCCACCCACTCACCCACCCACTCACCCACCCACTCACTCACTCACCAACTCTCCCCCCCCCCACTCTCCCCCCCACTCTCCCCCCACTCACTCACCCACCCACTCACCCACCCACTCACTCACCCACCCACCCACTCACCCACCCACTCACCCACCCACTCACCCACCCACTCACTCACCCACCCACCCACCCACTCACCCACCCACTCACCCACCCACTCACTCACCCACTCACTCACTCACTCACCCACCCACCCACTCACCCACTCACTCACCCACCCACTCACTCACTCACCCACTCACTCACCCACCCACTCACTCACTTACTCACCCACCCACTCACTCACTCACCCACCCACCCACTCACTCACTCACTCACCCACCCACCCACTCACCCACCCACTCACTCACTCACCCACTCACTCACCCACCCACTCACTCACCCACTCACTCACCCACCCACCCACCCACTCACTCCCCCCCCACTCCCCCCACTCCCCCCACTCCCCCCACTCACCCACTCACCCACCCACCCCCCACTCCCCCCACACTCCCCCCACTCTCCCCCCACCAGCCCCATCAGCTCCCCCCGTGTCTCTCACACTGAGTGCCCTCAGCTCTCGCAGCCTGGAGGCTCGTTGGGGGCCTCCACCGGCCGAGTTCTGCAACGGGGAAATCGTCGCCTATACCGTCAGATACCGGCCACTCGGCCACCACCACCACCACAACAACCACAACAACAACAACCACAACCACAACAACAACAACCACAACAACAACCACGACAGCAAGGAGGCTCATAAGGCCACCGCCGGCGATGATGATGATGACGATGATGGTGGCGATGATGGTGACGGAGATGAAGACCACGATGATGATGATGATGACGGTGGCGATGATGGCGATGCCGTGAATAGAGGAGGAGGAGGTGGTGGTGGTGGTGGTGGCGGTGCTGGTGGTGGTGGTGGTGCTGGTGGTGCTGGTGTTGGTGGTGCTGGTGTTGGTGGTAGTGGTGGTGCTGGTGGTGGTGGTGTTGGTGGTGGTGTTGGTAGTGTTGGTGCTGGTGTTGGTGGTGGTGGTGCTGGTGGTGGTGATGGTGGTGGTGTTGCTGGTGGTGTTGGTGGTGGTGCTGGTGGTGGTGGTGGTGTTGGTGCTGGTGGTGCTGGTGTTGGTGCTGGTGGTGCTGGTGTTGGTGCTGGTGGTGGTGCTGCTGGTGGTGGTGTTGGTGGTGGTGGTGGTGCTGGTGGTGTTGGTGGTGTTGGTGAGGTGGAGGAGGCTGTGCTGGTGGTTGGGCCGGGCACGCTCTCCGTGACTCTGCCTGGGCTGGCACGTTGGACTCGCTACGCCGTGAACGTCGCCGCTGCTACCGCCGCTGGCGAGGGCCCGGCCAGCGACATCGTGGTGGAGCGCACGGAGGAGGATGGTGAAGTCACCCACCTGCTCAGTCACCCACTCACTCAGTCACCCACTCAGTCACCCGCTCACTCAGTCACTCACTCACTCAGTCACTCACTCAGTCACTCAGTCACTCACTCAGTCACTCAGTCACTCACTCAGTCACTCAGTCACTCACTCACTCAGTCACTCACTCACTTAGTCACTCAGTCACTCACTCAGTCACTCAGTCACTCAGTCACTCACTCAGTCACTCAGTCACTCACTCAGTCACTCAGTCACTCACTCACTTAGTCACTCAGTCACCCACTCAGTCACTCAGTCACTCAGTCACTCACTCAGTCACTCAGTCACTCACTCAGTCACTCAGTCACTCACTCAGTCACTCAGTCACTCACTCACTCAGTCACTCACTCACTTAGTCACTCAGTCACTCACTCAGTCACTCAGTCACTCAGTCACTCACTCACTCAGTCACTCACTCAGTCACTCAGTCACCCACTCAGTCACTCACTCAGTCACTCAGTCACTCACTCAGTCACTCAGTCACTCACTCAGTCACTCACTCACTCAGTCACTCAGTCACTCACTCAGTCACTCAGTCACTCAGTCACCCGCTCACTCAGTCAGTCAGTCAGTCACTCAGTCAGTCACTCAGTCACTCAGTCACTCAGTCAGTCACTCAGTCAGTCACTCAGTCAGTCACTCACTCACTCAGTCACTCACTCACTCACTCAGTCACTCACTCACTCACTCAGTCACTCAGTCACTCACTCACTCACTCAGTCACTCACTTAGTCACCCACTCAGTCACTTAGTCAGTCACTCAGTCACTCACTCACTTAGTCACCCACTCAGTCACTCACTCACTCAGTCACTCACTCACTTAGTCACTCAGTCACTCACCCACTCACTCAGTCACCCACTCAGTCACTCACCCACTCACTCAGTCACTCACTCAGTCACTCAGTCACTCACTCACTTAGTCACCCACTCAGTCACCCACTCAGTCACTTAGTCAGTCACTCACTCAGTCACTCACCCACTCAGTCACTCACTCAGTCACTCACTCAGTCACCCACTCACTTAGTCACCCACTCAGTGACCCACTCAGTCACTCACCCACTCAGTCACTCACTCAGTCACTCAGTCACCCACTCAGTCACCCACTCAGTCACTCACTCAGTCACCCACCTACTCAGTCACCCACTCAGTCACCCACTCAGTCACTCACCCACTCAGTCACTCACTCAGTCACTCAGTCACCCACTCAGTCACTCACTCACTTAGTCACCCACTCACCTACTCAGTCACTCACTCAGTCACTCACTCAGTCACTCACCCACTCAGTCACTCACTCAGTCACTCAGTCACCCACTCAGTCACTCACTCACTTAGTCACCCACTCACCTACTCAGTCACCCACTCAGTCACCCACTCAGTCACCCACTCAGTCACTCACTCAGTCACTCACTCAGTCACTCACCCACTCAGTCACTCACTCAGTCACTCACCTACTCAGTCACTCACTCAGTCACTCACCCACTCAGTCACTCACTCAGTCACCCACTCAGTCACTCGATCACTTAGTCACCCACTCACCCACTCAGTCACTCAGTCACTCACCCACTCAGTCACCCACCTACTCAGTCACCCACTCACTTAGTCACCCACTCAGTCACTCACTCACTCAGTCACTCACCCACTCAGTCACTCACTCAGTCACTCAGTCACCCACTCAGTCACTCACTCACTTAGTCACCCACTCACTCACTTAGTCACTCACTCACTTAGTCACCCACTCAGTCACCCACTCAGTCACTCACTCAGTCACCCACTCACTCAGTCACCCACTCACTTAGTCACTCAGTCACCCACTCACTTAATCAATCAGTCACCCACTCAGTCACCCACTCAGTCACCCACTCAGTCACCCACTCACTCACTCACCCACTCAGTCACCCACTCAGTCACTCACCCACTCAGTCACCCACTCAGTCACCCACTCAGTCACTCACTCACTTAGTCACCCACTCAGTCACTCACTCAGTCACCCACTCACTTAGTCACCCACTCAGTCATCCACTCAGTTACTCATGCACTTAGTCACCCACTCAGTCACTCACTCAGTCACCCACTCAGTCACTCACTCTGTCACTCAGTCACCCACTCAGTCACTCACTCAGTCACCCACTCAGTCACTCACTCAGTCACCCACTCACTTAGTCACTCACTCAGTCACTCAGTCACCCACTCAGTCACCCACTCAGTCACTCAGTCACCCACTCAGTCACCCACTCAGTCACCCACTCAGTCACTCACTCACTTAGTCACTCACTCAGTCACTCACTCAGTCACACACTCACTCACTCAGTTACTCAGTCACTCACTCACCCAGTCATTCACCCAGTCACCCACTCAGTCACTCAGTCATTCACTCAGTCACTCACTCAGTCACTCACTCACTTAGTCACTCACTCAGTCACTCAGTCACTCACTCACTCAGTCACCCACTCAGTCACTCGCTCACTTAGTCACCCACTCACCCACTCACCTACTCAGTCACCCACTCAGTCACCCACTCAGTCACTCACTCAGTCACTCACCTACTCAGTCACTCACTCAGTCACTCACCCACTCAGTCACTCACTCAGTCACTCACCCACTCAGTCACTCACTCAGTCACCCACTCAGTCACTCGCTCACTTAGTCACCCACTCACCCACTCAGTCACTCACTCACTCAGTCACTCACCCACTCAGTCACCCACCTACTCAGTCACCCACTCACTTAGTCACCCACTCAGTCACTCACTCACTCAGTCACTCACCCAGTCAGTCACTAACTCAGTCACCCACTCACTCACTTAGTCACTCACTCACTTAGTCACCCACTCAGTCACCCACTCAGTCACCCACTCACTTAGTCACTCAGTCACCCACTCAGTCACCCACTCAGTCACTCACCCACTCAGTCACCCACTCAGTCACTCACCCACTCAGTCACCCACTCAGTCACCCACTCAGTCACTCACTCACTTAGTCACCCACTCAGTCACTCACTCAGTCACCCACTCACTTAGTCACCCACTCAGTCACCCACTCACTTAGTCACTCAGTCACCCACTCAGTCACGCACTCAGTCACCCACTCAGTCACTCACTCAGTCACTCTGTCACCCACTCAGTCACTCACTCAGTCACTTAGTCACCCACTCAGTCACCCACTCACGTAGTCACTCACTCAGTCACTCAGTCACCCACTCAGTCACCCACTCAGTCACTCAGTCACCCACTCAGTCACTCAGTCACCCACTCAGTCACTCAGTCACCCACTCAGTCACCCACTCAGTCACTCACTCACTCAGTCACTCACTCAGTCACTCACTCAGTCACCCACTCACTCACTCAGTTACTCAGTCACTCACTCAGTCACCCACTCACTTAGTCACTCACTCTGTCACTCAGTCACCCACTCAGTCACTCACTCAGTCACCCACTCACGTAGTCACTCACTCAGTCACTCAGTCACCCACTCAGTCACCCACTCAGTCACTCAGTCACCCACTCAGTCACTCAGTCACCCACTCAGTCACTCAGTCACCCACTCAGTCACCCACTCAGTCACTCACTCACTCAGTCACTCACTCAGTCACTCACTCAGTCACCCACTCACTCACTCAGTTACTCAGTCACTCACTCAGTCACCCACTCACTCACTCAGTCACCCACTCAGTCACTCAGTCATTCACTCAGTCACTCACTCAGTCACTCACTCAGTCACTCACTCAGTCACCCACTCACTCACTCAGTTACTCAGTCACTCACTCACCCAGTCACTCACTCAGTCACCCACTCAGTCACTCAGTCACTCACTCACCCACTCACTCACCCCCCCACTCACCCCCCCCCCACCCACTCACTCACCCACTCACTCACCCCCCCACTCACTCACCCCCCCACTCACTCACCCCCCCACTCACTCACCCACTCACTCACTCACCCACCCACTCACCCACTCACTCACCCCCCCACTCACTCACCCACTCACCCACTCACTCACTCACTCACCCACTCACTCACTCACTCACCCACCCACTCACCCCCCCACTCACTCACCCCCCCACTCACTCACTCACTCACCCACTCACTCACCCACTCACTCACTCACTCACCCACCCACTCACCCCACCACTCACTCACCCACCCACTCACTCACTCACCCACCCACTCACTCACTCACCCACCCACTCACCCACTCACTCACCCACTCACTCACCCACTCACCCACCCACCCACTCACTCACCCACTCACTCACTCACTCACCCACTCACCCACTCACTCACTCACCCCCCCACTCACTCACCCACTCACCCACTCACTCACCCACTCACTCACCCACTCACCCACCCACCCACTCACTCACCCACTCACTCACTCACCCACTCACTCACTCACCCACTCACTCACTCACCCCCCCACTCACTCACCCACTCATGCACTCACTCACTCACTCACCCACCCA